GCTGTGTCGTCAAGGACGAGACACAGCCGCTGCCCAGCCACCCCAACATCACAGAGGCCAGCCAGTCACTCGCCACCCACCTCGCACACGATGATGAGTCACCAGCACACGACGACAGCAGCATTGACTCTTCATCGCTGGAGGGCAAGCTGTCGGCTCACTCCTCACAGCCGGACGGGTGCAAGAAGGCGGCTCAGCTGACGGCCACGATGCGATCTATCTACCAGCTGCACACCAGCCACACATCAGCGACGCTCCGTGAGTGAGCAGTGCACGACTGACAGAAGAAAGTGACAGAGACACAGCACGTGTGTCTGTCGTGTGTCTGTCGGGTGTCTGTCGTGTGTGTGTGGTGGCAGGTGAGGTGTTCTATGGTGACGTGCATCTGTACACCAACCAGACGCACAGCGACAGAGCCATAAGGGACATCACACGACTCCTGAGGGTACCAAGACACCAGCTCAGGATCCTCTCGTCCACCAGAGGGCTCGTCGCCGGTGCGCTGCTCACTCACTCACATGCCCTCACACACATCATGGTTGCAATGCTATGCTCGTGTGTGGTAAGGTTCGATCATTGTGAGGGAGAGGGCCACTCGCGAGGGTGAGACCGTCGTGATTTCGATCGACGGACGCGAGGATGAGAACAAAACCGGTATCAGAGTGAACCCATTTCACCAGGTTGCTCAAATGACACACACACACACACACATCTCTCTCTCTCTATGTGTCTCTCTTTCACGTTCTAACGTGGTGTGTGTCCGGCAGGACATTGTGGGGATTGAGCTGCCTGCAGGCAGAGACACCAAGTTCGCCCTCATCGTCGAGAAGGGTACATCACCTGGCTGGATGGCTGGATGGCTAAATGGCTGGATGCATCAATGTCTGTCTGCAGAGACAATATTCTCCAAGCTCATCCTGTCGGACTTCGTGCAGACACACGGCCCCCTCATACTCGTCACGGCACACGGGTATATATGACACAAGCAGCATCCATCCGTCCGTCCATCCACACGAATGGCCGTTTGTGTGCAGCTATCCCGATTTGCCCACGCGTCACTTCTTGCGTCTGCTGCGCGACACGCATCCCTGGCTGCCCTTCGGCTGTCTGGTCGACCACGACGTCCACGGCTTCAGCATCGCGGCAACTTACGTCATCGGCCCTGAGAAGACCCAAGACGGATGGTTCATGCAGGTAAGCACAAGAGACACACGTGAACGAACAGAAAGGGAGACAGACATGAACAGACATAGACACACATACATCCGTCTTGTCAGAATATTACTTTGTCTGACGTCTCTCTGTGCACGCCGGCGTCCATCAGCGACGCAGAGGAGAGATACGGGTGACTGCATGAGCGAGAAGGCTCAAAACGACACCTGCATACAAGAGTGTGTGTCTGTGTGTGTGTATCCGTGTGTGTGTGTGTGTGTGTCAGAGTTGAGCCGGGCGACATGGCCAGCTTCCGCAGCGAGGGCGAGCGCAAGCGAGCAGAGAAGCTGCTGGGACGGCTGCGCGAGGCAAGAGATGCTGGCAGGATCGACAACCACTGGTGCGTTTCCCTCGAGGAGATGGTCAGGCGCAACAAACAGTTTGAACTCGAGGCCATTGAGACTTTGGATGCGTTTGTGGTCGACCGCATGGCGGCTGCCACATAACGTTGATGACTTACCCATAACGCCCACGCACACACGCATTCATGTCAATCAACATTGAGCGCAGTCATGTTGGTTTTTACACACGGACAGTCAGAGGGGCACACGAAACGAACGCATCGCTGTGTCATCATATATTCATTCACACAGTCGTCATGCATCACATTCGGTGTGTCAGTCGGTCGGTCATTTCTGCTGCCCAGACAGCCCCTGCTTGCACTCCTTCCTGCAGCCGTCCTGCAGCAGCTCGGTGTCCACCTCTGACGGCGGCAAGTGGACGTACCGAACCACAGACCCCCGAATGAAGCAATTCTTCACCGACATCTGTAGGCCAGGCACGGCAAGCCACAAACACGCACACACCACACATCCGCCCCCATGTGTCGATCTGCGTGAGTGTTGCCTGAGTGAGCGACTGAGTGGCTGACTGACTGACCAGGTGTGGGTACTTCTCGGGGTCATTGACGGTGACGTTGTTGAGCTTGACGTTCAGGTACTGGTCCACTGAGTGCAGTGTGCCTGTGATGCACAGGTCGTTCTTGAGCTCCACCGTCACCTGCGCATTCCTCTCCACCAGCGTCTGGAAGAAACTGAAGAACAGCTGGTGTGGCGCCACGCCAACAAACAGCAGCACACAGACAAACAAACACACACAGACAAAGGCAGGCGGGCGTGATCCATCCATCCCATCAATCGATACATCTCCTGCACAGTGCGTGCAGATGCCGTCGGGTCTGCGCTCCGTTAGTTACCATGCTGCAGGGTCAGGCAGGCCACCACGCTGCCACGCAACCTCGGGAGGACACCTCAGATCCTCGCAACAGTCGATACCGTCGAGTATAGGCGGTGATTATCGATGCCTGCACGCCATAGCGCCTCCTGTGCCGTGAAAAGGAGGGAAACTTCCTCCCCTCTAAGCTCGCAAAAGATTTGCGAGCTGTGGAGAGAAAAGGGGAGAAAGGAAAAAACCAAGCAGACGGATCCGCAGAGTCTCACGTGCCACAGGGCAGTGCAGTGCTTCACGTCCCGACGGCAGTGACAGCCTTGTGAGCTCTTTCGACCTCTAACGGCGAAACCCCGCGAAGCGCACCCCGGGGAAGACAGAGGCACGGCGGGCAATTCCCGAATCAACACACCAGCAGCGCCGCACTGGGCGTGCAGAGCGGCCGTGGACTGCGTGACTGTCCCGGGAGTCGGCAGTTCGACTGGGCGGGCGTTGCCTGTCGTTGTCGTTGGCCTGCGTTGAGCCGCTACCGCCGACGATCGGACCCATAGACTCGCCACGACACCTGCCCCAAAGACCCGGCGGTTGCAGGCCCTCCAGTCGCTCGACCTGACGGGCCTCTTGCGGCTGGGTCGGGGTGATTAGTGGTTGTGGGCGTGCATTCCCGCGCGCCCTCTCTGTCGGCTTGGAGGCTATGGGGGGAGAGGGCAAGGGCCGCAGCAGTGAAGCCGGCCTCGCCAGGGAGTTCGCTGAGACGCAGCGAAAGCTCAACCTCAGTAAGACAGACCCACACACACATACATGACATCCACACACCATGAGTGCTCATGCCATGCTCGTGGGTGAAGTGAATGAATGCATCCCGTACCGTGCCATGGTGTGGTTTGGTGGGGGCTGGGGGTCACAATGAAATGAATGGCGAATGAACCCATGGTCATCTATCTCTTTCTCTGTGTCTGTCTTGGTGTTGTCCTGTGTTGTGTCCTCGTTGTTGTGTGCAGGTCAGAACTCCCGCAGCTGGTCGGCTGACGAGGACCGTGCACTCACCGAGCTGGTCAAGCAGTATGGTGCCAAGAACTGGTACGTCAGTCACTGCACTGCAGTCCACTGCCACACAGGACACGCACTCCCAGTCGAGGGGATGGAGGAAGCTCACCGTTTGCCCTTGCTTGTGTGTCTGCAGGTCTATGATGGGGAGTCTAATTAATCGCACGGGCAAGCAGTGCAGGGAAAGGTCAGCGACCGACAGACAGACAGACAGACAGACAGACAGGCAGGAGGCATCCGGGGCATCCGCTCACCCACCCCACCAATCACTCATGCGTGTGTGTGTGTGCAGGTGGATGAACCATTTGGATCCGCACGTCAAGAAGGGCGAATGGACCGAGGGCGAGGACTACCACATCTTCAAGGCAAGCCACCTTAAATCTCTCTCTCACACACGGACACTCTCTCTCACTCTTATGTATGTGTGATGTGTGATGTGTGGTGTGTGCAGATGGTGATGGATCACGGCAACCGGTGGGCTGACATCGCCCGCACGATGCCCGGACGCACCGACAACAGCGTCAAGAACAGGTTCAACTCGGCCATCCAACACAAATGGGAGAAGTACAAAGTCAGATACAAGGTAGGTACCTTCCTTCGCCCACACCACACACCACACGACGCCACACCACACCAGAACCATCTGTTATTGGTCTGATCCACCTCCTGATCTCTGTCCACAGGCCGAGAAGATGGGCACCGATACGTCGATGGACGTGGCCGACGCCTCCAACCAGCACGAGAAGCTCCAGAAGCTCGACCGCCAGATCTTCGACCGCCTCGCCGCCAACAAGTCGATGCACCCCTCCCTCGGCATCAAACGAGACAAGAAGACACGACAGAGCACCCGCAACGGGTCTGCGTCAAGCCGGTCGGGCGGCGGAGACGGCGGGAGCGGCCGCTGCCGGGCAGCCATGCACGACGGCAGCAACAAGAGCGGCGGCAACAGCCCCGTGCACCAGCCCACCAGTGGTGCTGGGGGAGGGCTGCTCAGCCTCCTGCAGGCCATGTCCAACGGCGCGCTCTCGGGCGACCCCCAGATGGCCGTCCTGGCACAGCAGATGCGCGCACAGGGCATCGCCCTGCCGCCGCCCGGCAGTGAGCAGAGCTACGCGGCCTACCTGGCGCAGGGGATGGGTGGCCAGCCGCCCACCATCGACAGTCCCGCGGCCATCGCGTCCGGCGGCGACCCGTCGATGGAGCCCAACGCGGCTGAGCTGGAGCGGCTCAACTCGCTGACTCTCGAGCAGCTGGTGGCCCTGGCGCAGCACCGGTACCTGTGGGACAACGAGAAGTTCGACCCCCGCTACCGCCACCACATCCAGAACATGATCCAGCACCTCCTCACCGCACTCGCACAGGCATCCCCGCAGCCCCCGTTCGACACGGCCGATGACGGCAGCCAGGGCGGGGTGGCGGGCGGTGCGGGAGGACCCTTCCACCCACCAGCCGCCCCACTGCAGGTCAAACCCGAGAGTGAGGAGGGCACACAGGGGGCGGGGGGCGACCATGAGGGGCTGCCCGACTCACACCATGGCAGCGAGTTTGTGCAGCAGTACTACCAGCACTATGGCCGGCGGGAGGGCGACGCGACAGGCAAGGAGGGGCAGGGCGAGGGCGACCTGGCGCCGTATGATGCCTATGCTGCCGTTCCCGCGCAGACGGCTGACGGGGCCTACGGCGGGTATGGGGGCTATGGCGCTGAGGCTGCCGGCGGCTTCCCCAACACGAGCGACCCCCCGCTGCACCCCTTCCTCACCCCCACAGGCGCGGCGTCCCTCTCTGCCAACCCCTTCGAGCCCCTCGCGGCCGGCCAGAGCGGCTCTGCGTTCGGCCTGGATCTCTCGTCCTACCCCCACCCCTACCTCTACGCAGCAGCGGCGAGTGGCGAGCAGTCCACCAAAGAGAAGGGAGGAGGCAGCGGCGAGGAGGACACCAAGCGCCGGCGGCTGACTCGCTCCTACCAGTCGTCCTCTCAGTCGGCCTACCCCGACGCGTCAGCTCGGTCGGCCTTCGGCTTCCCCCCGTCAGACGTCGCCCACCCCCCCTCCCTCCCAGAGGGCGACACGAGCGGGCGGAAGAAGCGGAAGCGGCGGGACGACACCCCGTCGCCCAGCAAGGGGGACAAGAGCGGCAACCACATGGCGGAGGACGGACTGGAGAGGGGCACGCAGCCCGCCTCGCCGGCCGGCTTCCTTCCTGAAGGCACGTCGAGCCTGGAGCTGCTGCATTCGGGCCACGACAACGCCCTCATGGCGTCGCTGGTTGGTGGCAAGGCGGGAGGGGGGCGGGGGAGTGGCAGCGGGAGCAGCCCTGCAGGTGGTGGGCATCAGCGGCTCCACGGCATGATGCCCATGCTCGACACACTGATCCCCTTCCACGAGGCCGCCGACGTGCTCACGGCCGGCGGCCACGACCTCCACCCCAGCTCCCGCTCCCACCCCCTCCTCACTCTCCCTTTCAAGACCCTCACCCACCCGCTGCCTCCCGACCACAGCGAGGGGGCCGCCAGCGCCACCACACACACCGGCAGCCCCTCGTCGACCGAGCTGCTCTCCACCAACAAGGGTGCCGGGGGCATGGTGGAGAGCAGCCCCGGTGTGCTCTACACGATGCGAAGTCTCAACGGCGGCAGCAGCAGCGGTCGGCGGCCGGCCCCTTTGTCACTACAGGAGGTCAACGGCAAACACCCGATGCACATGGACGGCGTGACGTCGTCCAGCACACTGCCGATAGCCATGGAGCTGTCGGACACGCCGGCGACGATCGTGCCGAGCGAGATGGCCAAGGGCGGGGGCAGCCCGGGCAAAGGTGGCGTGACGGACCACTCGTGGACCGTTGACAAGAGGGACTGACTGAGGGGGGGAGGCAGGCAGGCAGGCAGGCAGACAGACAGAAGTGATTTCCTTGCTGTGCTGCTGTTGCCTGTGCGTGCGGCGCCCGTGTGTGCATCGGTGAGTGAGTGGGTGTGGTGCTCTCTTCCGTGATGCGTTTCTTTGTCTTGGTGCGTGTGTGTGTGAGGTGCCTGCCTGCATCCGTGGTGGGTACGTGTGTGTGACGGTTCGTGGTGCTAAATCGCTGCGTGTAGTAGACAGGGAGGACAGGCAAGGAGAGGTGAGGAGAGGACAGGAGGGGACAGCAGATGAAGAGGGAATTTTGGCGGGGGAGGGCGGCTGGGCGGCCGCGCGAGGAGAACAAACAAGGGAGAGGAGAGAGAAGGCCGATTGGTATTATCTATCGTTGTGTAAGGAGGCATTTCATCATCTCACTCACCACTGGATCGATCCACCCAGCCACACACCCACCAGCACAGCACGTATCTATCGCACCTATTCTGCGACCCTCCCTCACTCTCATTCTTTCTCACTCTCTCTCAGTGGCTGAGTATCTCCAGGCCGCTGCAGGACACCTCACCTCCTGATAGATATCAAATCAACTCAATAATCTCACGGGTCGTTCGGTCCCGTACTTACTTGTGTGTATTCCATTCTCTCTGTCTTCTGCGTGATCGTTATGTGTGGTGACTTGACGACTTGACGGCTGGTTGGTTGGGTGGTTGCCGACATGGCCGTATTGTGCGGCCATACACCCATCCTTCCAGCCATCTATCCATCCAACCTTGATCAATACTTCTTCTACTTCTTACGCGTCTGTCTGTCTGTATGAGTGCATGGCATTGTATGGGTGTAGTGGGTGGGACGTGTGTGTAATTAGTGAGAGGCAGAGGGAGGGACAGGATAGGCAGGGCTGCAGAGACACTCACTCGTGAGGAAGGACAGGCAGACAACACAAGACACTCGGGGAACACATGTACACACATTCAGATACACATACACCAGCTAGCTACACAATGGAGGGCGAGAGAGACTTGACCGACCTGACCACATGCATAACCTCGGTGCGTTTACGTGTGCTCTTTTCTTCTCGTCCTCTCCTCTCCTCTCCTCTCCGCTACGCGTGTGCCCTGCTGACCTGCCCTGTCCTGCCCTGCCCTGCTCTGCCCTGGCCTCTTGTGTGTCTGGTGCTATGCCCGCTTTTTGGTGTCTTGTACCTAACTACGTGCTTCCTTCACTCATTGTGTGTGTGTGTGTGTGTGTGTGTGCATGTGTCTGTGTGCTGATCGATACCCCTGGCAAGGCAGCCAGACCTCCCATCATCCCATCCACAGAGAGGGACGACACAGGCAGGCAGACAGGAAGGCAGCACAGCAGGGCAGCAGGGCCCTCTCTTTCTCTCCCCTCCCCCACTTACTCTTGTATCGTGTACAGCTATGAAGGTAGGCCTTGGTAGTTGACCGTTCCACACACGCACGGCAGACGGACACACGAGCCTCGGAATTTGGGATGGTCCGATGAATCATCGCACGAGGCACCACACTCACACGCACACACCAGCTGAAGCTGACTGACTAAGCAGCAACGTGCGTCATGGCGACACGCGCACAGGCAGACAGACAGACAGGCACCGGGACAGGCAGGAAGTCCTTATGTCATACCTACCCATACATAAGTACGTAACAAGTACCTACGGCAATGCCATGCCATGCCCCTCTCCTCTCCTCTCCTCTCCTATCCCATATATCCTGTTTGCCTCCGATCCGATGGTGTAAGGTAACGTCCTGACTGTACAGATTGCTCGCGCCTGGCGTGGCCTGGCCTGGCTGCGCTGTGTTGCTTTTGCCTGGCTCGCTCCATATATTTTTGAGCTCACGGCCAACACAGACAGAGTCGGCCGGGCCGGGCGACTGACTCACTCACTCCAGCTGCCGGCCATGACTGTGAGTGAGTGTGAGTGTGGCTGCTGTGGTATGGTGTGCGTGTGTGGGTCGGGAGGGGGAGGTTGAGGGGAGGCGGAGGGGCGCCGGCTGAGGCAGGCGAGTCTGAACTGTTTGCTCCCACAGATGAACAGACTCCCTCAGTCCCACCCCTACCACTTACTCTTCTCTGTGCCTCTGGCTGGCTGCCTACTGCTGGTGCTGCTGCTGCTGCTGGTGCTGGTGATGATGCTTCGTGCATGTGGATGAGCGTACGTGTTTGTGCGTACGTAGGTGCGTATTATGGGTGATGTGATGTGAAGGTCTGTCTGGCTGACTGTCGGCCTGCTGATAAGGCCAGCCAGGCAGGCAGCCAGCCAGCCAAGTGCGGGGTGAAGAGACGGACCAAGGCGGAGGGAGGGGATATATCCTATAGAGGGATACCAGACAGACAGACAGACAGACAGGAGGGCAGGGTGGGTTGACCTTGTAATTGAAAGGTGTCAGACTGCTCCCTCACTCTCTTGCTCACTTCCTCACTGACTGACTGACTGACTTGCATGATGCAGAAAGGAAAGATGGCTGTGTGCCTTCCCCCGTCCCTTTTCTACCTCTTTTCTTGGTACGTGGGGGAGAGGCAGACAGACACGCGGGCGGGGTGGCGGGCGAATGGCTGGGCGTGGCGTGTGGGGGTATCTAGTCCTGCCCCCTGCCTCCCTCCCACCCTCCCATCCTCCATCCCATCCCTCTGTCGATTGATCAATTTTCCCGCGTGTGTCTCATGCATTCTCCTTACGACGTCTGTTCCGTCACCCCACCACCCTCTCGGCTCATCTTAGATATCTGTCATGAGAGCACGTGCTTTGCTTGCTTTGTCTGGTTGTTTTTGTGTCACTCTTTGTTTGGCTGACTGGCTGACTTGCGGAATCTAACAAACAGAGGGAGAGAGACGGAAAGGTGCATACATACCATTAAAGGGAGGGATGGGGGCAGGGAGGGAGGGGTGCCGAACCCCACTAATCGCCAGAGAGCAGCACAGAAGCTGAAGTGACCAACCGGTTGGTCGGTTTTTCAAGTTAGTGTGTACTCCCGTTACCGTTCGTCGTCCATTGCACTCAGCTCAGGGGTGCAGTGTGGATGGAATGAATGAATGCACAACTTAAGACAAACAGGCAGGAAGGAGAAGGGAGGGATGTACCTCTTTAAGGGCGCGTCTGTGCTTCTCTTTGGACTCGGTGAGTGAGGGGAGAGACTTTGACGCCGTCCATGCCCATGGATGGATGGATGGATGGATGGATGGCCGGATGGATGAGGATAGTTGAGGTTAACGATCTACCAACCCCACACAGAGCACACAATACATTTTCACTTCCAGCAGTCAGCCACACACACACACACACACAAGGTCTTTGCACATTGCGCACACGCAGTATCCACACCCACATCACCGCCTTGACACAGACCGAAACGGTCACTTGTGTCTGTCTCTATCTACACGTGCGCACCTGTCGGAACGACTATAGCGCACACACCGCCATCACATCACACGCCATGCAAGAGAGAGAGAGAGAGAGAGAGAGAAGGAGAGAGAGATCAGACATACTTTCTGTCGCCAGAAAGACTTGGCAGCAGCACAGCTGTCCCGTGCTCGCCCACTAAGTGGCAGCCATCCACACGCACGCACGCGCACACACACTCACACATCAGGTACACGCAGCAGAGGAAGGGCCCTTGAACTGCCCAGCCTCGATAAATAGCATCCATATAACACGTCAGACAGACATGTAGACAGGCAAGTACGTAACACAACATTTCATTTCTTGCCGGCAACGAACATTTGGTAGAAGGCCGAGTTCCGCCGCAGTGTCGGCCTCCCGCAATCCAGCTCCTTCGAATACCTGCAGGCACACCACACCACACCACACCACACACCGCACACCACACCACCATTGCAGCTGGCCGGTGTCTGCGTTCCATCATCTCGTGTTGCCTACACGTAGGGGTCAGCGAGGTAACTGTTGGCGATGTGGTTGAGCGACAGCAGCCCGTGTTTCGGCCGGCAATTCGACGGATACGACTGTCACACACCACACAACACAACACAGCGACAGCCAGACACACATCGAGGGACGTGCGGACACATTCCTCCCTCTCACCCAGCCCACTCACCACAATCCTGCTGCCGGCAGCGCCTCTTGTGACAGCTTGGTATCCGAACCGCCACTTGTCCCATGCTCGCGGCCCGACCCCCCAGAAGCGAGACTTGCGCCCTGACGATGATGAACGAGGGCCGCCGACAACGGATGCTGGCACGGGAGGCCCACGCGCGCCCGTCACAAACCCCTGTAGGCCTCTCCTTGTTGGCTTCCCCTCTGCAGCCAGGGCAGCCAGGGCTGCAAGGCAGGTGACGGCGAGGGACAGCAGCAACGACCGCATCTTTCTCGATGACAAGAGGAACGACAAAGTCCTCTGCGGCCAGGAGGATATCCGGAGAGGAGACGCCCAACGCCTCCCCCGACCGTTAGAGGGCGGACGCACGTTAGCGGGAGAGAAGCCATCTCGTGAGCATCCGGATATATGGAAGACTAGTCGAGGATGGGAGATGTCAGGTCAGGCCGGGAGGGGTGTGTGCACTGGGAGATGGCTCAGGGACTATCAGGGACAGAATCAACTATCACTGCATCTACTTAACACTATCACTGCCCTATTGCCAAGGGCTGGCGGGCGGGCGGGCGGGCGGCTTGTGTCAGTGATTGTCTTTCGCGTACGTGCCCTGCCGGCCTGTGTCTCCATTCCTCGGCTGGATTGACCCATCTCATGCTATTCACTTGTCAGCCGGCGCAGTGACAAGCGTGAATGGGATCAATCCAGCTGTGAAGTTAAGACTGTCATTCACGAAACAAGGACCGACACGTGCGACCAATGAAGGTGGGTCTATCCAGAGCAGAATGGCTTCATGTGGTGGCCTCACTCAAGCAACGCCGCACTACCACTAGACTGAGTGCTCGCCGCACCACTGGCATGAGAGACACTTCATGTGTCGCGAGGCCACGCTTATACCAAAGACACATTCTTGAATGAGACCGAGTCAATCTTGTCCGTATGCACATACAAAGCACTCAGCGCCCTCGAATTGCGACGAAAAGCAGCGAAACGTGCAGCCACTTCACCCCCCACTCTACGGCTCTCCCCATCTCCCCCTCCCCCTCCCTCTCAGTCAGTCGATGCCCAGCGGCACAAACAGGCCGGTCCCCTTGTCGATTCGCCCCAGCTGGCCCCACTCGAACTGGCAGTCCTGGTCGCCCAGATGCTTGTTGAAGCCCTTGACCACCCCCACCACCCCATGGCTGACCGCCTCATCCAGCCGGGCCCGGTGCACCACCTCACGCACACCCGTGCCCACCACCTGCCCGCCGCTGCCACGAACGGCGAAGCACTGCAGAGGCGGCAGGGTCACCTTGACGCGCTTGTCGCCCTGCTGCTCGTGTCTCGTCCCGCCCACCACCTCCCTGTTGCTGCTCGTCTGAGTGGCCGCCGACTTGACGAAGTGGCCGACGGCCGCACGGACGCGGCGCCTCAGCACCGACTCGCCGATGAGATACTGGTCGATGGCGGCGACAGCAGCGGGGGGCTCGTGCAGGAAGGCGCCGATCTTCCATGCGATGGCCTCTGCCTCGTGTGGGCCGAATGCCATGTTGGATGGGGAGGGGTGGGGGTGGGCGCCGTCGTGGTGGGGGGCGAGGGGCAGCAGACGGGCGAGAAGCATCGAGTGGTCGCGCTGGGGGGCGAGGGCGGCATTGATGGCCGACATGACGGCCTCGGACAGCTCACTCAGCACTGTGGCATACTCGGTCAGCACCAGCTGACGCTGACGACGGTGAGCTTCGGTGGCGGTGGGCATGCGGGCGATGGATGGGGCCGCCCCGCCCCGCAGCAGCACACCGATGATGGTCTTGTACTCGCGGATAAGTCTCGAGCGCTCCTCGTTCCCCTCTCCCTGTTGCTGCTGCTGTTCCGTGCAATAAATGGCAGCGACGGCGAGGGGTGTCTTGTTGGGCAGGTGCGGCAGTCCTGGCAGGTGCGGCAGTCCTCTGTTGACGTCGTCGGATCTGAGGTGGCGGCACAGCCAATGAACCACACAGGGGGAGCCATGCCCTGCCACCCAGTGCAGTGGCGTCCAGCCGGTGGTGTCTGTTGCCGTCATGTCGGCTCCGTGGCTGGTGATGAGGTCCAGGTACTCATCGATGAAGGACTGGGAGAATTCCGCAGTCGAGTTCCTGGCCGCCAGATGCACCAGATTGTGTCCACCCCACCGCTCCGCTGCGAGTGTGCTGTCGTGTTGGGCAAGCCGGCGGTACACCGACATGAGAGCATCCTCGTACTCACGAGTGGCGGAAGGGGCAGCACCACCCTCGAAGAGTCGTGGAAGCTGCATCACCACAAATCCCCGCACGTCGACCTGACGCGCCAGGAGGGCCTCGACAGCCGTCAGATTGCCACCCGCAATGGCCACCTTGATGGGCCTGTCCGCCTTTGCGCTCGCATTGATGTCGGCGCGTTGATGTGCGCTCGCATTGATGTCGGCCCCGCCGTCGATGAGTGCATTGATGACGTCACGCTGTAGCTGCCGAGAGGACCACTGCGGCAGCACCACGGGCACATCAGTGTCATCATCGCCCTCCGCATAGAGGAGCGGGTAGTTTGATGGACTGTCGATGGCGAAAAACAGACAGCTGTATCGCCAGTAAGAGGGGTCTGTGCTGCCGCGGACACGAAGGCCGCCGATGGCTCTCGGGTCGGCTCCTTGACCTATCAGCGATGTGACTTGGGCGGCCTTGCGCCGAAGGCAGCCCTCCAACAGCTGCCGGCTGAGAGGACTCACACCCTCATCAGGGACGATGTCGACGTTGTCCAGCCCCTTGCAGCCGGGCGGCACAGCAGCAGGAGGAGGTGCTTGCGATGCGGCAGAGGATGGTTGGGCCATCCCAATGAGTCACACCGCTGCATACACTAACAGAGGCACACAGTCACCTGCAAATCCCTCCTCCATCCAACATTGCTGACGCACCTGGTCAGTCAGTCAGTCGGCGGCCGTCACAGCGACCCCACCAACGACATCTGCAGTGAGAACACACAGAGATGCCACCCCGGCCAGTGGTGCTTTGTTAGGTGGTTGATTCCTTCTTTCATTCCTCATACCATCAGCAGGAGCATCAGCAGGCCAACCAGACTCCAAGAAGAAAGGCTGCTTCTCCATTTGCTTCTTCCCCAGGGCTCGGCAGCTGACAACACACACGGCAGGCAAAGAGGCCACGCCTGTTCGGTCTTTTCGCTTGTTTCCTTCATTACTGTGATTGCTGACCTGGAACAACCTGCGAAAGAGCCGTTTTGCTTCACTTTTATCCCCCGATCGGCATCATTTGCGAGCTTGGCGCAAAGGGCTGGCAACGAGTTGTGTTGGAGTTGTCAGTGTCCGCGTCTAAGGAGAGGGACGTGCTCTCATCAAGAGCAAGCCTCACGAGCGCGGCCGCCCGGCCCGGCTTGTCGCTGAGGGGGAGATGACCCACCTGCTGGTCCATCCATAGCAAACTCATGGAGGTAGGTCCCAACCACGACAGAACAAGAGAGAGAGGAGCAGCCAGCTCTGATCGATCTGTTGTTGGTTTGCAGGCGTGTGGCGGAGCTGACGAGAATTCCGGCAAGCGGCCTCGTGTGGACGATGACTCATCGCCCGCGGCTGCTGCTGCTGGAGGTGGGAAGAGGGACTCATGAAAAGAACAGACCGACTCACTCTTTGATGGCCGGCTGCCTTTGTTGTGTGATGCACTCTCGTAATGCAGGTGGAGGATGTAGCACTGGTGTAGCTGTAGGTGGCGGCCAGCCGTCGGACCAAGAGGTGCATCCCGTCATAGACTGGGTCAGCAGCACAGCCACCTGCATGGACGACACACGCAGACACACACACTTGATGGCTCTGTGTGTGCCCGTGTGTTCGTTCATTCCCTCAGGCCGACAAGGCGAATGTTTGTTGGCTGGTCCCCTTGTTGGAGAAGATCAAATCGCTCGAGGCGCAGACGGCGGCCGTGCTGTCAGAGGTGCGACCACTCGTCACGCCCACACTGGCCGACAAGGTACACACACAGACACACACACGCACACACACACACACGCCCTTCTCCTTCTCCCTGTGAGTGGTGATGTGTGTTGGCAGGTGCCGGGCCTGTCGAGTAAGCTGATGACGGTCGAGCAGTCGGTGGCGTTGCGATACGACACGCTGCGGGGTCTCATCAAGACACTCGACAACGTGGCAGTCGCCAAGCCGCCACTCCCGCAGCCCATCGCCACCAAAACCCTCCCACCAGACGCCACAATAACCCAGGCAAGCCACACATCAGACCAGCCCAAACATCCACACACACGACATGTGCGCCCCTGTGTGTGTGGTCAGCTCGGTCGTTTGTGTTTGGACGGCCTGCCGCCCGACGCGGCGCACATCGTGTTGGCCTTCCTGCCCACCAAGGACGCCGCGCCCCTCTCCCGCGTCAACACGTTCATCAAGCAGCTCGTCACCGACGACACCAGGGGCGTGTACCGCCACTTGGTCATTGGTCTGGACGAGCGACAGTGGTGGGATCGGGGCATTCGGAGGAACGCCAGGCGGACAGTCGAGGAGCTGGGCATCGATGGCGACGACAGCAGTGAGGAGGATATAGAAGAAGAAGAAGAAGAAGAAGAAGAAGAGGAGGAGGAGGAGGAGGAAGAACAACAAGAAGACGACGACGACGACGAGGAGGAAGAGGAACAGGAAGAGGACCAGGAGGATGAAGAAGAGAAGGAAAAGGAGGACGACTCGGTGAGGGAGGGAGAGGACGACTCGGCCGGGGAGGGGGCGGCGGCCGGGGCGGCCCTCAGACGGCAGACCAAGCGGCTGAGGAGAGAGCAAACCACCCTCAAAACACTGAAGCAGAAACTGGTGCGCCACCACACCACACCGCACCAACGAAGTGGAGTGACCATGGCTGACTTCTGTCTGTCTGTCCGGTTGCAGGGTCGGCTGCGGACGGTGCACATCAGCAGTCACTGGAAGGGCCTCGACTTCCCTCTCAAGTGCATCGAGGCCTCCCACGACACCATAACCAGCATGACGCTCTGCGACAAGAGACTCGAGGACGACGACGACCTCTCGGGCTTTGAGGATTACCACTACAGCGTGCCGACTTCGCCGTTCAGCGTGTGCTTCTCACAACTGGAGGACCTCTACGTCGAAGACTGGCCATATCACCGCGGGTAAGCATCACTGATCTCCATGGTCACACCGCTATGCACTGATCATGCCCTCTGTGTGTGTGTGTGTGTTTAGCTTCCGAGGGTGGCGATTCCCATCCCTTCTTCGCCTGCGTGTTGGGGGGCGCGGCTGCCATCAGACTGATAGTGCCAAGGACATCGTGGAGCATGCCCCAAAGCTCGAGTCACTGTGTAAGCAATCATGCCTCTCACATGCAGCTGCTGCACCCACAGATGGATTCTCTGTCCCTCTCCCTTGTGTGCAGCGGTCGAGTACCTGAGTGTCAACGACCACGAGTATGATGATTTCGCCTTCCTCGTTCAGAGATGCCCGCACCTCACCGACATCGACTGGGTTCACCTGGGCGTCTACGAATTCACGTCGACTCTGGGCAAGCTGAAGCGTGCTCTCGACCCCATCTGGACCAAGGATAGCCTGAAGGGTGCGTGAGCCACCAAGCAAGAACAGACAGAGGAGCCACCGGCAGGCTGACCGCATTGTTTTTGTGGCTGTGTGCAGATGTTGACAAGAGGCTCGGCCTGGAGGTCGGTGACAAGATCTCCGTCCCCTTCACCCATGAGCTGCTCCATCCCACAGACACTGATGCCATGAGCCTCCCTACCTTCCTCGACTGGGCAGGTAACTTAGTAGGACGAACCGACAAATGGACAAACGGGAGGATTGCAATACTACGCATCTCTGTTGAGTGTGGGTTTGTCTGCAGCGTCGGTCAACTGCACGGTCGACTGGAGGGTCGATGGGGTGGTTATCGACTGCTCCAGGGACCTCGTCATTTCGCCTCCTGCACCCACTGGCCCCATCGCCAAGATGATCAAAGACATGTGTAGCACGGCCGATGAGGTGAGCAACACACCAAGACAGGAGGCCTCAAAGGGACGAACATCAATTCCTGCTTATATCTGTATGTCTGCCTGTGCGTCCGTCCGTCCGTCCGTCTGTCTGTCCGGCCAGGTGACTCTGCGGTGTGGCGGGAGGCCTCTGGACCAGTCATGGGCCAGCCTGATGGTCTTCACCAAGGCCACCACGCTGTCTGTGAGGGGGCTGACGCCGTCCCGGGCCTTGTCGAGTGTGCCGCAGTGGATGGCAGAGAAGAGCGACACCACCAGTGGCAATCGCCATCTGCCCAACATCACCAGCCTCGTTCTCGATCTGGTTGTGTGTGACGGCGTGCCTGTCGGGCTCGATGGCACAGGCACATTGCTGGGCACCTTAGACAGGCTCACGACAGTCAGTCTGACACGTTTGCCCAACCTGGGCGTGGCAGCGTTTTGCCTATCGCAGCTGCCCCCCACTGCCAAGCTAGAGAGCGTCAAGGTGCAGACGAGGGCCTCGGTTTGTGGCTCAGAGGTGCCCGCCATCTCTGACTGCACCCGATACCCTCACGTCGCCTCCATGACTGTCGAAGTGATCAATAGCAACACGATGAGTGGGCTTGCGTCTGGCGTTGCGTTGATCGCTGCTGTGCGGCCTGCGACTGTCTGTCTGAAAGCGACTGTCTATCTGACTTCTCTGCACAATCGGGAGGGGTGTGAGAGCAGAGAGGCTGAGTTCCGTAGAGAAGTGGAGCAGTGCATTGACCAGGCAGAGACAGCCCACTATGGGCTGATTGCCGATTTGAGCAGGGCGGGGGACGACGATGACGACGATGAGGAGGGGTACCCTCCACGAGTAGAGCTGCAGCTGGTGAGGCTGCCAACGCATTCATGACATATCGATGGGTGGCTAGCTTCCTGTACAGAACATCGTGTCTAGCGGGGACGGCTGGCTGTCTGGCGTGTGGGGGCTGGATGATGCTATCTGTGTGTCGATGGGCCGTTTTCACACTCTTGCTTACTTGAACGATCAGTGTGTGGTGTGGATGGATGGGTGGGTGGGTGTGGGTGAAGGGAAGTGCTGGTGCACTCTTTCTGCGTAGGGGACGTGCGTGCAGTGACAGTAAGGTGCTTGTCTGATCATCCATATGGATTTCCATGAGCCCCGACATCCATGCATTCCTCCCGTCCATTCCCACTCGGCAGCTGCCGACACACACACCATTCGTGTGGGGGATGGCTCAGGGACTATCACGGGCAGAATCAACATCCGGGCCAAACGGAAACGGAATTGTCGAAACGGAATGGTAAGCTTCCCGGGGTGTCTGGACTCGCCGCTCAGCGACTTTCACTATACAAGCCCACGCGCTCCTTCGCATTTGCATCATGTGTCATGAAGGATACATCATGTAACATCATGCATCATGTTGATTGAATGCGTGTGTGCATGCACGTCATGGGTAAGTCACCCACGCTCAGGCAGCCGTCATGCGATCGACCACAAACGCATCCAAACTCTCAATGGCCTCGAGTTCAAACTGTTTGTTGCGTCTGATCATCTCATCGAGGGAAACGCACCAGTGGTTGTCGATCTTCCCTGCATCTCTCGCCTCGCGCAGCCGTCCCAGCAGCTTCTCTGGTCGCTTGCGCTCGCCCTCGCTGCGGAAGCTGGCCATGTCGCCCGGCTGGACTCTGACACACACACACACACACTCTTGTATGCAGGTGTCGTGCTTCTCGCTCACGCAGTCACCCGTATCTCTCCTCTGTGTGGGTGATGGATGCCGCCGTGCACAGAGAGACGTCAGACAAAGTCACATCCTGACAAAACGGATGTATGTGTGTCTATGTCTAATCATGTCTGTCTGTCTCCCTGTTCGTTGTTCACGTGTGTCTCTTGTGCTTTACCTGCATGAACCATCCGTCTTGGGTCTTCTCAGGGCCGATGACGTAAGTGGCCGCGATGCTGAAGCCGTGGACGTCGTGGTCGACCAGACAGCCGAAGGGCAGCCAGGGATGCGTGTCGCGCAGCAGACGCAAGAAGTGACGCGTGGGCAAGTCGGGATAGCTGCACACAAACGGCCATTCGTGTGGATGGACGGACGGATGGATGCTGCTTGTGTCATATATACCCGTGTGCCGTGACGAGTATGAGGGGGCCGTGTGTCTGCACGAAGTCCGACAGGATGAGCTTGGAGAATATTGTCTCTGCAGACAGACATTGATGCATCCAGCCATTTAGCCATCCAGCCAGCCAGCCAGGTGATGTACCCTTCTCGACTATGAGGGCGAACTTGGTGTCTCTGCCTGCAGGCAGCTCAATCCCCACAATGTCCTGCCGGACACACACCACGTTAGAACGTGAAAGAGACACATATAGAGAGAGAGATGTGT